TACTTCTAGACTATTGATCAGCTCTACCTATATATGAGACGGGATTTTGACCTTTTTCAGAGTTACTATCTATAGTATGGTGATTGACAGTCCTTTTGAGATATTGGTCCATGGTCCTATAAAGGGCCTAAGATATTGGTTTGTTTGAAAAAAACAAATGTACGCAATTAAGTTCCGAAAAATAGTTTCATTTCATATGTGTAACAATCACGAAAACCTAAGAAGTCGATAAATGCCAATATTTGACAATTTATCTACATACATATTATTATATGCGATGATCCACGCTGTGCAACATGAGTAAACCGCGAGATTGTGCGAATCTATGCATCCGTACATGACGCCCGGCGGACGTGCGTACATACATACAAGCCGCGCCGCTACGTTTTTATGAAGTTACCATACTTGTGTCCGAGTCGTAAAGATACGAAAATGCCCTAATTGGGATTTCTTACAATTAGTCTGCGTCGAGCAAAGGGATGAACGTGACATTTGTGAAGTGCGCCATTTTATACAATTTCAAGAAAAATGATGTTGTATGTATTTAGTAAATGCACTAATTACCATGTTAAAGTAAATAAAACACTAGCAATCACATACATACATAAGTGTAAGTTAGCAAAAATATTTACATTATTGTTATATTTTAATTATTTTTCTGTTTATTCTAATAAATAATAGTTGCTAATTGAAGATAGAGATAGTAAATTTTTCTGTAGCGAGTGTTATAAGGATGCATGTACCCTGATCATAGATTATAAGTGCATATACACGTTGTTGTTGCAGTAAAGTCATCAATTATCTGTTCGACGTTTTCCTTTTTTCTATCTATGTTATTTGCTTTATATAGAAAATTTATTAATATTAATTGTAATCATTTTTGTAATTTATAAGCGTTAAAACAGCAAGCAAATCTATTGATTACCTTAGAAATAGTATTGTTCTAAGGTAGAAGATTAATTAAAAAAATTATATTAAGTCTGTTTTCCCTTTTTGATTGTGTTTTACTTATTACCTATTTTTCACATGTTCGTTCCGTTCCGAAAAATCATAATCCATGCCCCGGCAATGCAGTTGCCACTCGAATGGTTCCAAACTTCAATTACTATGAACGTAACATATCTTGGATACATAAGCATTCAATGGCATTTTTTAGATTTATTGTTGTAATATATGAATCCGCTCACGCTGCTAGCGCGTGATTGCCACGCCATGCCATTGTGATTGACGAGAAGATCAACGTTTAAAATCCAATCTGAAATACTAAAGCTAGGCAAACTTACCTTACCAAGTAAATTTGTTTCTTTTTTGGTAAAATTGGTTCTGTTTGCTTGCTTCGAGGGATCATCAGATAGGGACAATCTTAAACGTGTACTATATGTATACGTATCGGTAGGGTTAGGTAGCTTTCGAGTATATTTAGGGCGCATTTATCCGCCACGAATTTCATCGCGCTCACCCCGCGTCTGTTGCCGAGCGGAGTCCGCGTTGCCGCAGCGCAGCGATCGCGTGCGTTTGTCATGGCAAAAGAAGCTCTATGCGTCTAGCTTTTACGTTTTAACTTAAATGAGCATCCCGGACACACGGGGAGTCTGGCTTGAATTTGTACTACGCGGCGCCCCTTGCGGCGGTTGTATTATTCAGAGGAATTTATGTTGCTGCCTAGTAAATAGAATTCAGATTCGCCATTAATGTACATGAACGCGTGGTAACCGGGCGGTCGCCGCGCGGCGGCCACGCGAAAACTTTCTCCTCGTGTAACTAGGCGCTTAGGGTGTTACCAAACATATTTAAGTTCAATCGCATTAAGCCAGTCAAAAAGGTTCATGTACAACATGCAATTAGCCGATTTCATAAGTGTGACTCCTTTAAGCAATGCCAAATCGGGAAAATAGACCATCAGGCCGAACGAAATGACATTATAATTTGAAAAACAATAGACATTCATAACCATGAAATTTAACTATAAAACTTAATAGCAGTTTTGTGAAAGAGATCGTCCAGAAAAGTATTTCTGCCGCCAAGCAGTAACGCTTATTACATGAGCATTACTGCGTTCCGGTTTTGAAGACTAAGGGTGCTGGTGAAATTACAGGCACACGGAACTTATCAATTTTATGTGTCAAGGTGATGAACGCCGGGGCAGTGCCCCTCAGATCTTTGCGATTTACCTAAAGCTCTGAGTGGCGTTGCAACTGTTACAGACACGCGTATCGCTTAGCACCAGGCGCACGACTTCTTCGTCCCGTCACTTGGTATTATGAATAAAAAAAATGTAATGATATCGTAAAAATATATATTTAATTATAATTGTCTAAGTTGTGCTTTTATGATATATAAAATAATACTTTAGTAGATTTAAATCTCCATGTTTACTTTACCACTTCAATGTACTGAATTATTTCTATAAAAGTTGCTGGGGTAGAAACGCGCGATTCTGCGTATTATTCAAAACATTGAAGAGGCACGTTTCCAAGTTTCAAGGATTGCTCGTTTTCTACCTGTGAAATTTATTTTATCGGCAGGGACACCCATTCTGGATCCCTTGACACTTCGTCTCTCTCACATGTTATTGCGTTCTTGTCGTCTATTTTATTCGGATTGATATTCGCCTTACAGTCTGAAAGAAGAGACCGATGTTTTAAATAACATTTAATACTTTTTAATTTTATATTATGGAAAATGACATACATGTTTGTTACTATATTAAACTGTATTTAGTAGCAGTAGAGCTCCTTGTGAAAGAGTTCGTCTAAGGAAGTACTGCCACCACAGGAATAAAAGTAGATGAACGGCGATGTGGGCAATGAACACGTGTCATAATCTTTTAATGTATGTAGCAATGACGAGACGTCCATATAACTTAATTCCCATCGGCTTGCCTAAAATGTTCCACATATATAGGGTTTTTCAACAAGAACTTTGTTTTCATTCAAATTTCTATTGTATTAAAAAAAGTAAGGTTTGGCAATTATGAATGAAAAATGATTTGTGATAAATGTCCACCACGACCACAGTTATGTCGATGTCGATTCTTTCGTCAAAGTTTTTAATCACTGTTTGACAAAATGGTGGGTCTATTCTGTTAGCCACTTCACGAATTTTGAATTTTAAGGCTGCAATCGATTCGATTGGCTCCGTATAGACTCTGTCTTTAACATAATCCCATAAACAAGAATCCAGAGGTGTTAAATCACATGATCGACGTGGCCACTTAACGGCTGAATTTCGTGAAATTATGCGATCGGGAAATTTGGTTTGCAATAAATGCATTGATTCAGTGGCTGTGTGACTTGACCATACTTACCCATATTAAACTTAAGTTTACTACCTTACTATCAGACACAGATCTAAAAAGTGTCAGAAAGTATAACAAAGACTTAAATGTTTATTTTTGGTAAATTTAAGTAAAGTAAGTTTAAGTTTTGAAAAAGCTATTGTTCATGGTGTTAGTAATATAGTCTGTGATAACCTTGTATAATTTGTGCAAAATTTTATAAATTATACAAAAAAAATACGAATGTACTTTTTGATCATAAAACTATGTGTACTTATTTATGAGCTCATACAACGCATGCAAACTTTAATCGCATAATTTTTCTGAAAATTTGCTCGTTATAATACAACAGAATTAGATTTGTTGACACTTCAGAGCTGAGGCAGCACGCGTGTTAACATAAGCTAACGGACCCGAGCGATGCCTTCCATGCAGGCAGCACTGATAAACCCATCCAAATGCTTCCAATATTCCTTAGACTAACGTCGACCCCACACGCCTATTAATAGAACTGAAATTTCCATCAAAGTTTAGCGTAAACTATGCCTGAATAATCATTCAAGTAATTTGCATGCCTCAGAGTCGGTACCGAAATTACAGAGTATAGTCCCGATGAAGTCAGAAGGAATTAGTCTGTAATGTCGATGTGTTTTAGCCTGCTATTCATTCTATTTATAGTTCTATATAATATATTTATTTATTTATTTAAATATACATATAAAGAAGTAGGGTCAGAAGCAATTCAGTAGTAGATGTGCGCTTAGCAAAAACTGTTAGTCACAAGCTATGGTGTTACCTACTTTTATTTAGTGTAGACGTACTAAGAACGGATTTTTCTACTAAAACTAAAAAAGGTGAATAAGGTTAAAAATATTTGTATGAAAAATCGTGTTCGTTGAACTTACAAAGATGAAACTTAGTATAAATATTTTATAATACAAATAATAAGAGATGGACATAATTTTTTTCAAAACTTCCATTAAATAGCGGTGAAATAGTGTATTAAAGTATAAATGGGAACAACTTAATGGGTAGTGTGCTTTGCTCAGATTTGTTTTCGATACTTTTTTCAAAACAATCTCTAAATAGGGATAAGTTAGGATATCGAAGTATTAAAATGTGGTATTAAAGTTAGTATTCGAAATTTTTTACGCGTGATGTGATTTATTTGAAATTTGGTGTGGATGTTATAACGACAAAATAAAGAAATACACGATTCAGTACTTTTCAAAACAACCCCTAAATAGGGGTAAGTTAGGTTATCGAAGTATTTTTTTAAACTATTTTCTTTAGTATATCATATTCCTTACATTTGCAAAATTTGTTAAACTCATTGGTTTTTAGTCGTTTGATAACCCATGTTTACACCCTGACTTATTTTATAAGTAATCTTTTGTATGATATCTTTGATATTCTATATTTGTTATTTTGTTAGTTTGCTTAATTTAACTGGTCAAATTCGGCAACAACTACTTAGTTATATGATTTTACAAAACATTTTTTATTGTTATAAGCCACGCGCTAACGCAATCATTGTATTAAATAAATAAAGAAGTTTTTATCTAATCATCTTTGTTAGTATTATTGTTTACTAGGAACGAACGCAACCTTCACATAATTATCAACGGGCTTGCGTGAAGGGTTTCCATTGTCCATCAAGGTTAAACGTGTTTGTGAATATAAACCTTGCCTACTATCTGTACTCCTAGTCACTAGTGCGACACCGCGGACAATGGACTTCAACAACAAAGTAGTAATAATCACTGGCGCCAGTTCGGGTATTGGTGCAGCTGTGGCCCAAATGGCTGCCAAACAATCCGCTCAACTAGTTCTCGTCGGCCGAAATATGGTTAACTTAAATAACGTCGCAACAAAGTGCGAAGTAGCCAAAGGGATAAAACCGATTATCGTTCAAGCTGAACTCACCAACGATGAGGACGTGAAGAATATTGTTTCGAAAACTGTAAAGGCTTTCGATCGCATTGACGTTCTCGTGAACAACGCTGCAGTGGGAGTTAGAGGGAGCATAAAGGATGGTATCGAACCTTATGACCGTGTTATGGCGTGTAACATGCGGTCGGTGTATCTCCTTACAAGTCTCGTCACACCTTATCTCATTAAATCTAAAGGCAACATAGTAAACGTGTCGAGTGTAGCCGCTTTCAAACCAATCAACGACGTGGACTACCTGCCATACTGCATTTCAAAAGCAGCTCTCGATCAGTTCACGAAATGCGTCGCTTTGGAGCTAGGATCTGAAGGAGTGCGAGTCAATTCTGTAAATCCTGGAGGAACGAGAACACCTTTTGCTGAAAATGCTGGTTTCAGTAAGAAACAAGTGGATAAATTATATGAGAGCCGCAATAAAAACTACCCGCTTCGGAAAATAGCGGAAAGCGAAGACGTCGCTGACCTCATTCTTTATCTGGCGAGCGATCGCGCGCGCAGTATCACGGGATCTCTCTACGTTATCGATAACGGTGAAATGTTACTGTAACATGTTGCATTGTTTTTTACTAAATTGTGTTGTCTGATTTATGGTTAAATATTGCATATTTTTTAATTATTATATTAATTTTATTCCCTATCGCTCTTAAACCACGAGCGTAAAAAGTAACGTATATTGACCTAAGTTTTGCACGATGTCGCCATTACATGTACTTAACACGAGCAAAGAACTTTTATGAAACTAGTACAAATAAACAAAGCTTAAGAAGGGAAGTTCCGTTACAAGAAAGTATTACACCGTACATATAAGAAACTAAAGGAAACATAAATAGGTCACATCAAGTAAGAACCTAAGCTGTTCTGATGTAGACCATGTTCTGTAACCGTTAGTTCCAATTTTGCGTGCGGAGTTAGTGTCTGACAAAACACAACGTATGGTACAGGCAAATGAGAAGTTAGTTACTAGAGCTGAAATTAAAATAAGGGTATATAGTTTGTTATGTGTTCTCGTGTTTGATATTCGTGTACATTGGTTACAATTGATACTGTTCTATGTATTTTGAATTGCCACCTGTAGTTTAAAATTGCATGTGGTATATAAGTGCCGAGAAATATATATATTGTATTGTTATTTTACGAGTACGTGTATATTTGTGTGTTATCATTTATGTGTGTATGTGACATATATTTGTATTTTTGGGTCATTTCGAAATGTCTTAAATCGTGGGTTTGCAGCTCACGTATTAATCGAAAAGCAACGTGTATTTTATGAGTAAAAAATATAAATAATATTTAAGCTCTTTATGAAAGGGACGCAAAAGCGCGAAACGTGCGAATCTGCACCCGAGGGGGATTTGTGCTCAGATTTTTCTTTTTTTATATTTGCGCCTGTAAAGTGCTGATGCTGACATGGCCATTGGCAAAATATAGTGAATGTTTGGTTTTTGTTAAAATAATCTGAAATGAGAAGTGATATGTTTTTATTTTCTTTCATTTTTAGAAACATTCTTTACAACTGTATACCGATGGCTCTCTAGAATGGTGACCTATCTCAATATCAATTGCCAATTTCAATCAAATTCAACATTATAATAAACAAAATAAATAAATAACGCACACATTCAACATAGCCCCGCACTAGGGAAACCCTGTGTCGCAGGTGCCACGGACACACATATAAACAACCACAAATTATACCCAAACTCACGAGAGAAATAAAGGTAGGGCATACAAATATTTCTCTGACTAATATTGACCGTTAGGAGACCACGAACTGGAAGTCGTTCATTGCGACGGTCCCCTACTAGAAGGACAGATGACCTGGTAAGGGTGGTGGATGACATATATAATATGTAGATAATATGATGGATGCACGTCGCGTCCGACCGGCTAGTCTGGCAATTTTTGGAGGAGGCCTATGTTTAGCAGTGGACGTCTTCCGGCTGATATGATGATGATGATGATTTATTTCTCTCGTGAGTTTGGATGTAATTTGTTATTCTGTACGTGTGTCCATGGCACCCGCGATACAGGGATTTCCCTAGAGCAGGGCAATGAGAGTATAAAAAAAAACAAAAAAAAATCATCAGGAATACGATTTAGAAACATCTGAATCACATCTAACGTGCAAAGCCGACAAATCATACACCAGTCTATGTTGTCACTTGTTTATTTTGGACAATGAAAATCTCGGTATTTTTTTAGAATATAATTTAGCACATTCTGAATGCAGCTATGTTATAAATAGAAATGAGCTATATCGGTTTGTGCCATTATATTTGAAAGGCATTATATATGTAGTTTAAAAATCGACTTCGGTATAATTTTTTACACATTCGCGATTCCAAATGCTACACGCATTAACTAAAAAAGTTTTGTCATTCGTATGTAGCCTACCATGTTAGTGTAGGATACAGATAACTAGTGTATCACTAAGAAAGAACTGAATTCTATATAAATATTGACAAAGTTTAAAGATCAGGAAACCTTTACAAGTTTATAGTGTGCGTAAAAGTCTTTAGCTGTCTAATGTGAAATTTCATGGAACATTTTATTCACTCTGTTAGGCTAACGGGCGTCCCAAGCAGCACACCCATATCTAAATATATACTATAAGACATCTAATAGAATTTAATTCGATTGAATATTTTAAGAGTTCAAATTCCCTCAAGATATCTCAAAGAAGGTTTCTAGATAATTTAAAGTAAAAGTGGGCACAACTTTATTAGTAGATCACAAGAGTGCTTTGAGAAACTATCTGTAGGTAGTGTTAAGAGTCATTCTTATCTTTTTTCTGAAGTAACCCTTCTAGAATGCTACAAGACCATTTGTAGAATGTAGACAGTTTTTATTTAGTCTTGTAGATAGTTTTTAGATAATTTATAGTCTATGATAGTTTTCTTAATAATGCTATTTTAAAACCAAAATACTAAAGCGTTACAAACATAGGACGCAATTCTCTTAATACTAATAGACTTCATGTTTAATGGCTTACAAAATATAAACTATATAAATTGCAACATGGCGAAATTAGATATTAATATTTCTGACTTTTTCGCGCAATGTTTAATCGGTTGGAAAGCGCAAATTAACGTGCGACTTTAAATACATTGTGAAAAGTGATGTAAAACCTGTCATAAAAGTAATGCGCTCGCTAAATTTTAAATATTTAAGTATAAAATATAAACTTAATAAAAATACAGTTATCGATTTTCGGTTTTAAATATTTATAGAAAGCTTAAATATACAAAATAACTCACAAAACAAACCATTTCCAAGAAGTTCTAGGCTTTTTCAACTTAGATTTACTTTTTAAAAAGAAAAGAAATTTTTCTCGGCTATTTCATAATCATTCTTTGAAAATAAAAATGGCGATAAGAATTTAAAGCTTTTTTCAAAACCCAGTTGGGACCATTTTGTCTATAGCTTGATCTATAGAAAAACTTTAGAATACGAAAAGATTATTTTTACTTGCTTTAGTGTAGTTGAACTTGTCGAAGAATATTCCTCCTATGAGATTTTTATGATTGTCTACAAAACGCGATGTTTCTAAGCGATTGTTTCTTTTGACAGTATTACAAAACCCTTATAAGCTTTTACCAAATAATGAGAGCTTTATGCATTAAAACACTTTTCAAAACACTTGGTCAAAAAAACAATTGGAAAAAATCCAATTTGTCGCAAAAAAAAAACATTATTCTGCATAATTGTATGGAATGTGTTATAATATGACTAGAAAGGTGGATACATTTACTATCATTTAAATATAAGGAATATTTAATGACATACCTAACTTATGATGGTAGAAATAAAATTTTCATTACAACATTGAGGTTATTTTTTCACGCCAACCACATTTCACACAATGATTTCACTGTATTCCATTGATAAACGGCACAATACACACACACTACATTGAAGTACAGTAGTTTACGCGCTCATTTCAATTGTTTTTATCATTTCACAACACGGAATTACTTCACAATGTTTATTTATTTGTCAACAAACAAACGCCGGCCATGACCGGCCCGAGCGCGAATTAAGTATCCAGCGTTGCCAATTTGTAGGGAATTCCCCTTCTAGTGAAAAGTATTTGAACACAGGTATAATGGAGTAGCCTTTATTATTTATAAAGAAATTTTATATGTAAATGTTGAATTTTATACAATGCCATTAATTACGAGTTAGGGTGTCTGATGTTTTGTTTCTTGAGTTTCGAGAATTCTCGTACCCGATTTCTCGAGTTATTCGAGAATTTTTTTAAAAACCGTAAAAAATCAGCTCAATCGACTACAAAACTAAATGTGAACTTTTCGAAAGTTGTTTTGGCCTGGGTGTTCTGAGTTGTGCCCCGAAATAAATTCCATCGTTCTTGGTCCCAGGTTCGATTCCCGGTAGAACCAATTTGGGAAATGAACTTTTGTAAATTGGTTCTGCTCTGGGATTCTGTTGTTCTGATACTCATGGGGAGTATGTACAGAGAGTTCCCTAGTTTCAGACCAGGTGATTGTCTTACAATAGAATACCAACACCAGAACCATTTAGAAAAGTTAATTTGTTAAATTGATCCTACCGGTATAGACCCCGGGAACTTCTCATCCAGTGCCCACAGTGCAAACCGTTAGGCTATCAAGGTTGTACTATTTGGATTATTATGCATTGTTTGCATGTGAAGGCTACAAATTGCTTAAACTTTTATAAAAATATCCTATTTAATTTGCAGTGTCAGTCTGCTTCAATTACCTTCTTTGTTTCTTAAGTTGGTATATTTCGTCATTCATCCAACTTTTGATTTTTAATGCATTTTGTCGGTGTAAGATGTTCTCTGTTAATACTTGTCACTTTCTCCTTAAGTTCAAGCTATGTTTACTGGATAAATTCCTGTATTCAATGTACCGATGTTTAGATTTTTTTTAATTCAAATTTAACGTAAAGCCAAACTTTCATAATCCTGAAAACCGATTCATAATAAAACCGTTATGCTTTAGGGAGTTTTGGATGCTTATTACAAAGAAAAGACTAAGTTAGCTTAGGTTTGTTTTGTAATATTTTAAAAAAAAAAACCTAAAAAAATAGTTTCGGGATTATGGAAATTCATGCAAACGTTATTTCGGGCAAATGTGTTTTCGGCCTTCTGATTCGTAACCCCAAGCCGTAGAAAGAGTACAACAATATTTGAAAGTATTACTAACATGTATTAAAAATATTTTAATAATAACATTAGCGTCAAAGCGACTCTATGAAATTTTTGTTCTAAATATTTCAAACGCTTGTGTTTGAAACAATTGAAATTGACGTGTTGGGTCTCGTTCAGTCTTTTACGCAAGCTATGAGTCGGAAAGAGACAGTTAGTTATTTGATTATTTTGATTGCTTTTGTAATTTATATTTACGATTAATTTAAATATAAATTAAATACTATATAATATACTAGTGCATAAAATAACACTTTTAAATGATAACTATGATAACACAATGTAGTACTTACTGAAAATATTTTTACTGCCTCCGTGGCCGTTCGGCCTCGGGTTACCATGCCGGACTGCCATGCAGAGGTCCCAAGTTCAATTCCCGGGTCGGGAGAAATATTTGTATGGCCTACATTTATTTCTTTCGTGAGTTTGGATGTAATTTGTGGTTGTCTACGTGTGTGTCCATGGCACCCGCGACCAGTGTTAGGCGTTAATCAATTAAATTTCAATCAATAATTCAATCAGATTAACCCGGTTGGGAACCCCGGTTGGGGTCCCCGGTTGGGGGCCCGGTTGGGGGCCCGGTTGGGGGGCCGGTTGTGGGGCCGGTTGTGGGGCCCGATTGGGGGCCCCGGTTGGGGGCCCCGGTTGGGGGCCCGGTTGGGGGGCCCGGTTGGGGGCCCCAGTTGGGGCCCCGGTTGGAGGCCCTGTTGGGGCCCCCGGTTAGGGCCCCGGTTGGGGCTCCGGTTAGGGACCCGGTTGGGGACCCCGTTTGGGGACCTGGTGGGGGGGCCCGGTTGAGGGCCCCGGTTGGGGGGCCCGGTTGGGTGACCCGTTTGTGGGGCCGCGTTGGGGGCCCGTTTGTGGGGCACGATTGGGGGCCCCCGGTTGGGGGCCCCGGATGGGGGGCCCGGTTCGGATCCATCAGGCCCCTTAACTGGCCCCTAACCGCGCCCCCTAACCGGGCCACCCAACCGGGCCCCCCAACCGGGCCCCCAACCGGGGCCCCCAACCGGGCCCCCAACCGGGGCCCCCAAGCGGGTCCCCAACCGGGGCCCCCACCGGCCCCCCCAACCGGGCCCCCAACCGGGCCCCCAACCGGGCCCGCCAACCCTGCCCCCAGCAGGCCCCCAACAGGCCCCCACAACCAACGCCCCAACTCACCCCATAAAACCCAAAAAATTTATCATAATTGTCAGTTTTAATTGTTAATTGTTAATCAAAAACATTGAAAAGATTGAAAATTAATTAATTGTTAACTGCGGTTCTCGCAACTAACAATTGATCAATCGTTAATTGCTGTTTCGCAATTGACAATTAATCAATTGTCAATCTTTAATTGCCAGAACAATTAAATTTTGCCCAACACTGCCCGCGACACAAGGTTTCCCTAGTGCGGGGCTATGTTGATTGTGTACGTTATTATTATTATAGTGATTTTTCGGGATTTTGAACAATTGGCATTGGCAACGCTGATTGTATCGAATGATGTAACTTACTATCCAAGGTTTACCACCTCCACCAGATCTTTTAGTATTCTTTACTTCATCCATTTTGCATAAACTCTTACAATGTCCAATAGAGTAAAAACCCTAATTGTAGTATGTTTTTAAATAAAATCTACTGAAGACGCGCTATAACGTGTTTGTCAATAAGTACAAACACTACAGAATGTCTATAAATTAAATATATCTAGAATAAACTTAAGAACACTAGTTTT